GGATCACATATAACAATTAAAATCCGAATCTTTTGGGTTTGGTTGTAATTTACAAAAAAAAAAACGAATTAAAAATAAAATCATCCAGAAATGTTAAAGCTCAATAACAGACACGAACTATTGAACTTATAGGCTTATATATTTATATCAGAGATGCTAAAATATCGAAACAAAATAAANAACTTCCGAAATGATTACATTATTAGTGACAGCACCGAATGTTACCATAACATTTTCTGTTAAATTGCCGAAAGTGAGTTAACTCACTTTGAAAAGTGAGTTCTGGTAACTGGTTTTATGGTAACATTTCCAAATATTTCAACCGAATCGATTGAATTTTTTTTAAATAACGTGACATTTATCGATACAGCATCGCTTAAAACTGTTGGAAATATTTACTTTACATTCTTTCCTTATTCCAATACGCATGTCAATATTATTATTATATTGCCTGTTTTGTATTACTTGTTCATTGCTCTTCTCTTTGTAACTTTGAGCGCAAGCTGTTGAATATATATTTAATCTCTGAACTATGTCAAATTGTTTTACTTTATATCTAGGAATTCAGCTACCATCGTATCAAAAACCCATTAACACAGAAATTTTCCTTTGAAACGAATCACTGAACTTGTTGGCTTAAATATTTATATGCATAAGGCATAACATCATTATGTCACAAAAATTGGCAGTAAAATATGGTAAAGCAAAAATCGGTGCCGATTGCTTTAGGAGCGCATATAAAAAGAGCTCCCAAACAAGTCAATAAGGTGGGTATTGGGAAATTCTTATTTGTATATGCTAGTATATGTAATTATGAAATGCTCTTTTTTTGCTTAACTTAAAGAGTTGTCATTATTACCATAATTACCATACCTTAAGTAAATAAAAAATATAAGTTACCTATTGCTGACCCTAATTCGCGAAAAATACTAATTTTAGAATATATTAAGTGTAGTAAAAAATTCCATTATTTCTCCTAGGGATTTATTTCCATCACGCGTTGTATAGTTCGACCGGATTCCGCTAGCTGACGTTAGAAAAATGACATTTCGTACTCAAAAAGTTTTTCCGACTAGTTGGTGGCTGGTTGATTCAGGGCTACAACGCAAGCCAGGCAGTTGAAAATGTAAATAGAGTTTATATTCCTGATACTGTTACAGGCAATCATGCACAATTTCGGTTTCACTCTAGTCTTTTTGATGTAAAAGATGCTTCACGGAGTTTTAGACCAATTGTCGATAATGTTGATAAAATCATGGACATTGACGAGTCCGACCGTCATCTAAGCACTGTCTCGATTGAGCAAAAGATTGCACGAACACCCGTTCTAATNAGAGGCTGCTCTCAAATGATCAGTATGCCTAAAGAAGAGAAAATTGACAGAAACAGCACTTCCTGGACTAGTTACCTTCTTTCAAAAATCTTTCTGAAATTTAGAATTGGGAATTGGGTGAAGCCAAAGAAATATTATTACCTCTGCATATTTTCACCAATCCTTTGTGACTTGGTGCTGCATATTTCTAGGCTGTTTGATGTGGTCTTTAACACAGAGCAAACAAAATAAAACTAGCTACTCGGAGATATAAGATCCCCGCCAGTATTTCACTTAGTCTGAGACCAAGTTTCTAAGAGTCATCTTAGACAAGAAACTAAACTGAAATGATAATAAATAGGCCGCTTGTGCCCTCTATACATGCAAAAGAAGGAATGGTCTAAACCCCAATATTTGCCGATGGATCTGCGTATTAGTAGTAAGACCAACGCTACTTTACGGAGCGATTGTGTCGTGGCCAGTTTTATACACAACTTCAAATACCAGTTTGGTGAATCAGATTCAAAGTTGTGAGTTAATGTGTATCAGAAGTGCAGCATAACCGCACTTTGTTTAAGAAAGTGAAATCGAGCTATTGGGACATTAGAAAATATTGGATATATACGAATTCATACCAAGATGTACAGATCGATGGGGTGCAATTACATTTACTTCAGAACACAAATTCCCAACAATGAATAGATAATTACTACACTATTTGCTTTAATTTGATTTTATTTTGTTTTATTTTAGTCTATTTAATTTGGTTAGTATAATTTTTTTACACAATTATACACTTAAAAATTCATATTCAGATTTTTTCCTGAGAACAACGCTTTGATGCATGGAAGAAACGTTCTGGCAATGGAAAACTGCTACTTATCACTTCAATTGTGACAGTTTCATTTTTGCAAGGCAAATCTACTTCAGCAGATGACAGCTGGGCCGTGTATTCACCATTTTCTATATCCTCCTCACCCAAAACCGTGGGTAGCAATTGATTAATTAAATCTTTTTTAAATGCGTATACGCCTGGTATATTGGGTATTACACTCTTCTTTGATTGATCAGCCGTAGGAACCTTAGTTTCATTGCTGTTATTCAACGGAAGTGCGAGAGTTGTGGTCTGAAAATTAATAAAATAAATAAATATATTTGTTCAAACTTATTTTATAAACAAAATTAAATTTATATAAATATGTATTATGCAAAAAAAAAATTACCTGTAATAATAATAAGAACCGGTTGAACCGCTATTTCCTTAATCAAATCAATCCATCTTTAAGCATGTATAAAGTAAATTCTCAGAAACGGCGAGAAATTTATTGAAATTGTACTGAGCAAATGCCGGTTAATTACTGAGAAATATTTATTATGATGAGCCAAATTCAAAAACTAAGATGCGTGCTGGAACTTTACTATATACTCGTATGTTGACTCGACTTCTATTTCTTCGGCTTAGTTCCTCAATATCGAACATATTAACTTATTACGTTTAAATAAATGAAAACGTCAGTTTTTTTAGTTTTTGCGCTATTTTGTGGAGAAACTAAACTAAGATAACTGAAAGGGTTTTTATTGAAGCAAATAAATATCAGAAATATCACCAAAGTAATTTTAACATTGTCAGATACTTAAAGACTTTTATCTCATCATTGTCCTTACGTCGGTTTCAAAGATAATGATGCTAAGTCAGGGATTCAAAAATTGTTAGACGGAACTTCAGTCGCTTTAGAATAACCATTACGACTCTTTGAAGGTCGCAAGCTTAGTTTTTGTCAAAGAAAAATTAAGTTAGATTGAACATTTGAGATTAATTACCTAGGATAATTTATGATTGATTAATCATTCGTAGCTTGATTAATTAGTGAAAAACTAATAGATTTCCTAGATTCTTCTTTAATTAAAGCAATAATTCGATCATTCACAACTTAACCGGTAAAAATAAAAACTGCTTTCGAACTACCCTTTACATCCAGTTGCTTATTTATATATTATATATATAAATTTTTAAAAATATCCTCCTACTACGTTTAGATTTTCCTACTAAACAAGTTTTTAGCATTTTTAGCTTTGATCATAGATCTAAGCTTTTCAATCACATTTGTATATATACTTCCCAATTTCAGAAAGTGCTAGTTAAATTATGTACTCGTCGCAATTCAACTGACTTACAGCCGCAACATTGCTGATTTGGACAGAACAAATAGTGCGGCTAATAGAACACATAATGGGGATATTCTCTTAGTCTAGCAATTCCGTGCTATGCAAATATTTCCTAGCAAAATTTACTAGAGAAAGGGAGAGCTTCTGTTGCATGATTTCTGCAAATTCTACTCAGACAGTTGTTCGTTGATCAGTTGACACAGAATTGCTATTTTCCTCTTGCAAACAGTGGGAAATAACAGCAAATAGGTTTTAGGTGTCGCATATTTTTTTCCATATGTTTTGTGTTTGTGCCATTGCACGGATTGGAAATCGACCGGTAGTCTAAACATATAAAGTCCTGAATGACTAACGGTTCAATCCAAAGTCAGATCGTACAGATCTGAAACTTGTAGCGTATGTTCTGTATATGAGGTACGCCCCGCTTTAGGCCCACATTACCATTGGGAATATTATTTCTCCCGCCAAGTGGCCCAGAGGTCGATTCGGTGGTTAGGTTTCATATAGAATATAGGTAGGTTCGTTATGAAGGTAAGTTTGCGGAAATTTTTTTAGAAAAATCGTGTTCAAAGTTCGATTTGCTTCACATCTGGAACATAGATAACATCTTGCCTACCAAATATATCGAAAACTTTTCTATCTTTCTCATATATTATAGCAAAGTAACTTATAAATTATACAAAAAGAAATCTCGTAAAATCCTAATAAAAATGTTACTAAAGTTGTCTTAGAACGGGATAACTCTAGTGTATGAAATAATGGGTGACCTCATTCTGAAAGTGAGTAAGTGCAGTGCACTTCGGCTTTTTCTTGAACTATTTTGTTAATTTCACAATATTTTTGGGAAACCAACTGTAGGAAAAATGCGTTTTAAACGATAACAAAACTCATCAAATACTACTTAATATTCTCACCACGTCTTCAAAAGTTTGTAATGATTTGCACTTTCTTGAGGACAGAGTCTTTTTTTCTAACATGTGCCCGATTAATATTACCAAATCAAAAAGGATTCTAAGCCACAACTTTCGTGTCGTTTGCGAAAAAGTGAATTACAATAAAACGTTGTATATTTTAAATTTTACTCTCTCTTAATTTTTTCTGTGCACCCTTATATAATATATTAAGTTAGTATTTATTTAAATCATTGATGAGTAAAACACAAAAATGGTTACTAATATTATTTAAGAACTTGCTTAAACTGCATTTAGCAAACTATTAAGTACACTTAGTTAACAAATTACTGAATCAACAATTTTTAAGGAAATCATCATAAGCATATTATGAATATAATTACATATATGTTTAATAATATTCAAATAAAGATTTCATTTAGTTCACATTTTCCAAGAATTGCAAATATGTAAATATTGTTCACTATATTCTAAGGAATATTTTATTTTTTTTATCACATTGTTGTTATTTGAATTAGGTTATTGCTGATAAGAAAAATATTGTAAGTCATCGCAATATGCATACGTGCTAATATGTATTATATGTGCAAATGCACTGAATTTCCAAAATTACTTTTTGGATTAAAAACTAAATAACTGCATTTAATTCTTAGGTGTTTCATCCCACGAGTATTGCGGTCGTAATTCTCTTCTGTTCGACAAATTGTCGTTGCGTTGCAATTCCACTTGTTTACAACCACAAATACGCACATTTGGGCAGAACATATATTTACAAATTGTGGCGAGTACAAAACATAAAGAAATGGCAGCGCACAACACAGCCCAATGTTCTCTTTTCAAAGGTAAATAATCTCTATTGCCTGTGTGCGCTCTCTCTGTTGCTGCCGTTGCGCTCTCCACCTGCGTTGGCCGCAACGTGATAAATTCTGGCTTATTAAACTCTTTTAGTGGATACGTTGAAACGCACTGAGGATTATAATTTGCACATTATTTTCAAATTAAATAAATTATTTGTTAATTAAATGTATTTATTAGTTTTAAATATAATGCGTTTTATTAAACATGCCTTTAGCGTCAAAAATGCACTCAATATTAGAAATATACTCAAATACGACGCCATAACTTGAAGCAAACTTCCGCGTTCTCATAAATGCTTACACCAACTGAAATGAGGTTGCATGCGAGAAAGTTTGCTTGGCGTGAAATGCAAAAAGGTTGTGATAACCTAAATATTATGTAGTGAGCGTCTTACATTCGCATTTAAGTAGGTATATACATATGTAGTGGTTTACTTACGTATAAGCTCGTGTTACCCTATACTGGTTATGAATATTAACTGCATGTTTCATGCAAAAAGACAATACCCTGCAGGAAACTAAAGCAGTTTTTACAAAGATTGGATTTTATTTATGGAATCTGCCTCGAAATGGTAAACCTTACAAAAAGTTATAAAACATTAAACCTAAAATAAGCAGGTCCGATCCTGCTGGCGTACCGTTTCTCTTAACTTCAGGCAGAAAGTGGATCCGTTGTCATTCTTAAATATTTAGATTGAATCCTTTGAATTATATCTATATTTGTTGCGCAACTTGTGCCCAAGAGCCCAAGAAAAAATTTTATGATTTTGTTAGTCACGTTGAAGCTATGGATTAAAAAGTGTAAACTTGACTAAAGAGTACTACAAACATGGTAACACATTTAAACACATGATTTCGTATTTATATACTCGCGAATAACTTTGACCATAAAACAGGTTTTGGGTACGAACTACCGTCCCATATCCCACACATCTAATTATTTATAGGTGTTGAAATGTCTGTCCACCCGCCATATAGCTGACATATTTAAGTATCATCGTCCATCATCCGGGCGAACCCAGTCAAGCAAAAAATAATCTATAGCAACTATAAAATATGGGAGATTCAATGCAATCGAGTGGGACCAACAATATGAACAAATAGAACAAGAAACAGCAATAGAAAATAACACAACCAATGTTATTTTACTTTTGATATTTAACTTTTTGCAAACCTCCCTAATGCATTTTATTCAGTGATCTGAAAATTGCAGAGCTTAAATGATTTTTGGTCTAATAACGATGACTTTGTCTGCTTATTGAACTGGCAGTAACATTAACATTTTGTTGATGACTTTTATTACAAAACTTGCTTGAAATATAAGAATATAACTTAAATGGACTCAATAAAGCATAAAACTAAAAGTTGAATACACCAAAGTGTTATTTAAAAATGTTCATTTTTTTCTATGTACTGCACATATGCCATAAAACAAATAAAATCTAGTCAAATAAAAATAAAAATTAAACAAAAATTGCATAAAAACAAAAATATGCAAAGAAAATAATAAAGAAAAAATAAAAATAAGCAAAATAAAATAATGTAAAGAAAAAAATAAAATTTATCAAAATAAAATAAAATAAAAAAAGTAAAAAAATTAAATAAAATAAATTAAAATAAAAAACATTAAAAAAGAGGACTTTACTTTTCAATTGTCTACTCATTCCATTCTGTGTTGGATTTCAAGGCTAAGATGGAACTACGTGTAAAAGTTCATGCAAGTGATAAAAGTCTTTGATTATCATTCACCTGGGAGTTACTAGAAACGATTTTATTGAATATCGTTCAAGTAGCTAACGACTTCTGATATTAGATCAAGTATCTCCTTGGTAGCCAACAAACATCCGAGGCGAGCTAAAGTGAGAAGGCGAATCCGTTGCGGTTATGTGTAGGATTGGAGACCCACCACATGGAAAACAAACTCCAATGGAAACCCAAAACTTAACATCAATCACTTCTTTTGTCAATGGTTGGTCTTAGTCAATTTTGGAATTCACAATCACTACAGTGATGTCATCAATGAAAGATTCGGCCGACCTTCTTGGAGTTCGTCGTCTATAGAAAAAATATGGTATTGTATTGTAAAAATTTCTGTTTGCGTTGGTGGTGGAATTTCGTCTCTATTTTAGCCGATCGTTCTAAAATTTGAAAGGAAGACTAATACAGTGACACCGAAGGCTTAAGTATTTTCAGATTTAACGAAAAATAAATTGAAAGTCACCAACTGACCGAACTTTTCTTAACCTCCTCGTAAATATATAACTCATTTAACAATTCGTTATCCTAACTTTGCTATTTTCAAGTAAAAACAAATCTTCCATCACAAAGTGTTTAAAATTTTTGCTGATCTGTAGCCCCCGTACATTATTTTCGTGCTTTTGCTTTCTTAAAAAATAATTTACTCGCATTAATCAGACAAAAACATATTGTAAAAAAACAATAGATACTTTGCTTAAACACTTACACACATAATTTAACTAAGTAAAATTAAATTGCAATAATAAACGAATTTTTAGTATTTAGTAACAACTCAAACGGGAGACACAAAGCTTCGATTTCAGCTCATGATAATGGCACATCTGTATGGCAGCTCTTCTTGCATTTCGATTTTAACGGTGAGAAAAATAGAAAATAACCATAACCGGTTTTAATTTCATGCCACCCATTTGAACAGTTTTTACTATTACAACAACGTGGCTTCATACGATTAGATACAGCGGAGGCCCAAACGGTGGGACCGATTTAAGAAACACCAATACGCAGCAGTCGTGTAGTGTTTCCTGATGAATTAGAAGAGCTATTAATAAAAACATGAGATTCAGCTGAAGAGGGAGAAATAAATGGATGCAGCTTAACACACACTTCCCAAACATGACTGTACGTTAAGAGGACTTCGCATCTCGTGTCGGTTGGGCGGGTGAAGGGTATTCGTTGGGCTTATTATAAATAATTGGAATGTTTTACAGTTTTCAAAATAAAGGCCACAACTAATACAAATTTTTACAATCTTTTTAATAATGCTTCAGCGAATTATATTTTGGAGTATCGTGAAGTTATCAAAAGTATAAATATTCAAATAAATCAATTGTAAGTGATTTCTGTATGACAACGAAAAATATTTAAAATGAATGAAATGCATACTCACGATTTCATTTGAAGCTTGAAACAAAGCTTTTGTTTAATACTCTCATTTTCACTCTCTCAGCATTTAAGCTGATAATGCTTTGTAGTAGTTAAGTGTTTCTTAACGCAGTGCTGATTTAAACGTTAATATGCCAACCGTTGCAAATGAAAGTGTAGTAAGTCCACTTTAAATAATAATAAATAAATTACGGTTACAATTTTAATTTAATTTTTTTTAGAAAAAACGGGTAAATTGAGGTAAGCATAGCAAGCCAAAACGTCAAATATATTAAAAACATAATCAGAGCAGTCCAAAAATAATTTTGCATCTTTGGGCAATTTTACTAATTCAGAAGAAATCTTAAAAGCTTGGATTATTTTAGTTTTTTTTTTTGCAAAAAATTATTTATGCTATGTTTTTCAAATTATCACAATTTAACGACTTTTTTTTTGAAATAGTGCATATTTCGGATTATTTCCAGATTATTTTGAAGTTTAACATTATTCAAACCTATTTCTTATATGAACCAAATCGGTTATTAAATAGGGTTCTGTCGCCATCTGTGAAAATGATTCTAATATTTTTTGTTTTTACCTTTAGATTTGCTGCCGAGCTAAATAGAGAAGGTACAATCTTCTATAAGAGTGTACAACTACTGGCGTACGCCGATGATATTGACATTATCGGCATCAACAATCGCGCCGCGCGCCGTTAGTCTTATTTTCTCCACGCTTGATAAAGGAGCAAATCGAATGGGTTTGGTAGTGGGAATCAATACCAACAATAATATCAGCCTTGAAATCCAGCGTGGAATCACGGAACGAAAACCAAACTCTACAAGTCGCTCATCATATCTGACCTACTATATCGCGCGGAAGCGTGAACGATGTCAATAGCTACTGACGTCGTCCGATTGGATGAAAACAATCCAGCTTTGAAAGTACTCGATGCAGTGCCCGCTGGTGGAAACAGAGGAAGAGGAAGACCTCCACTCCGTTGGAAGGATCAGTTTGAGAGTGACCTGACCTCACTTGGTATTTCCAACTGGCTTCAAACAGCGCAAAAAAGGGATGAATGTCGCGCTGTAATTAATTCGGCTATAATCGCGTAAGCGGTGCCAACGCCAATAAAGCAGAAGAAATACCTTTAGATATAATTGAATCAAAATATTTATTTATTATTTTGATAACGAAAAATCTCATAATACGGATAAATATTTTTCAACACTTTTTCTATTATGTGGCCCTCTTTGGGTTCGAATGAAATTTCAATTTCATCTTTTAAGTCACGAATCGTCAATAAGAAGGCTGCAATAATTTTTTTTTATATCTGCATAGTATTTAAAACCTAATAGCATAAAAGAAATTTGCATTTTTAATTCATGGTAAATTGAATAAACGTATGTTAACAAAAACGAAAACAAACTATAACCACAAAAAAAATTAAAATAAAACCAAATAAAAAAAATAAAATGAAAATTTTGACAACAACAAATGGCAGCACTCGTTCACATGCATCCACAACAGAATGTGTACAAATATGTACGCTTATTTAATTACTCTTAGCCGTTGGCGTGTAAAGTGAAAAACTTTTTTGTAGAGCACAAAAAATTTGCATAACCAAATTTTCAACATAAATTACTGGGTAAAAAGAAGTAGCCAAAATTAAAGTGGTTGTTTTTGGCAAACTGAAAAGTGTATAGTTTAATAACCATTTTTTCGAATTGTATTTTTTGTTTGTTTGAAAAATTTAATAGTATTTATAAAAAAATTTTGTTTTTAGCATTTAGTTATATAGTTTATTGTTAATGTAATTAATTTTTGCTTTCAAAAATTATACGGATAATTCACTAATAATATTTACCAAAAGAATAAATTTAAAAATGCTTACCTATGTAAAGCATCATTTTCGCAACGCTCGTCATACGTTAACGTTTCTCATTTTATATATACAGACAAAATTCTGCTTATAGCAGAGTGCTAAGTAGATTGTTGGCCTTCTTCGTAATAATGCACAGTTTCTTTTGATTGCTAGTTCGTAGTCGATTTTCAATAAGAAAAGCAATAAAGCCCTTAATTCCAAAAAAACTAAAAACTTTTATTTATTATAGGAATACGTACACATAAGCTCATGTCCTAATACAAATAGATTTATATTTGCAGAGTACATATGTACATACATATGCAT